TAAATTATATTTCAAAATATTTTCAATATTTATTTTCAAAGGTTATTCTACATTGTAATTTTTTCACAATTTATTGTTTTTACTGTTTTATCAAATAAATGCATCCTTAGTGAGAATAAGATATTTCAAAGCGAGATAAAAAGATTTCTCTTCTATTTTTTTCTGTAAAGTGGCATTCGAACAATGTGTACTGTAAAAAGTGCTGTACAAATAAAATTTAAACATGCTCATTTGGGAGATGCGGATTCAAGTCAACTGTCATGTTCCCAACCCATTATATCTTTCGCCAAGGATTGCCTGTCCAATCTATGAGGTCTCTGTGAACACCAATACAGGCATAAAACAAAACAGAAAATCCATCCTCCGTTTGTTTAGTGTAAACGGTGACCTACACATTTATTTTCTCTCTTCCAACAATCATATTTACAATGTACAGGCTGTTTGTGATTGGTGTCAGTTCACAGACAATCCCTCATAAGTTCTTAATACACTTCCATTTCATGTCATTGCTTTTTTTTAAATTAATGTAATCCCATTATTTCTAAAGGTCCCCTCTACATGAATTGAGAAGTTTTATGAAGTTTTGTGTTAATTCAATCATCCCTTATCAAACAAGCTCAGCCTCCAGCAGTGCAGTGTATACGTGCATTACCTCAGTGTTGGAGTAGTACGTGTTCCAAGAAGAGCGGAGACTCTCCTGACCACCAATATCCCACATCAGAAAGTGGGTTTTCTTCACCACTATTTCCTCCACATTGCTGCCAATTGTAGGAGACGTGTGCACCACCTCATTCATTAAACTGCACAACAAAACGGGTTCAGATGAAACAAACTACACTGATGCAGTATTTCACATTAATTACCACACTGAAACCTCCTTTACTCATCAGTACAGTGTCTCCATCTATTGTTTTACTTTGCTGAATAAATACCACGCATGATATTGCATAATGAATAGATTGTAATGTTTAGTGTGTATTGTATGTTCAGGCAATTGTCTTATGTCAAAAAGCAGTAACTAGATAGGTGTGCAGGTGTGTGGCAATAAAGAGACTATTCTATTCAATTGTATGAATCAGACCCTTTACTAATTAAAATTTAAAAAAAATAAAGAGAGCAATAAAAGTCAAACAAAATATAAAAAAATAACAAAATATACATTACTCACAACTGATAAAGTATAGTGGTTTTCCCAGCGTTGTCCAGCCCCACAATAATCACCTTGTGTTCTACATAACAGAAATAGAAATACATATTACTGATTATGAGAATGGTCAAACCCATAATACACAATCCAACATCAAATGAAAAGCAAACAATTCTTCTCAGTAAACAAGGATAGAATATATGTGAATGCCAATAAAACGTAAAAATAATGGAATCCATTATTTACATGAAATACACGGAGACAATTTTAAGCCTCAGCTATAATGTTAACGTTGGGTCATCTCATTAGCTCGCTGTGCTCTTTCCTTTCATTCAGAGCTAGTTTGCTTCTGTTGGCCTCTCAGTTCTATTAACTGGAAGATAATTGGTCCAACAATCCCATAGCAATGCACAGCTCTGCCACAAAAGATGCACGCTTGCATAACTGAGGAAGATGCGATTAGATCAACTAGTAGTGATCCATCCTTTATCAGAGCAATGTGACGAAATTCTGACAGCCTGTGTGTGTATGTAAGACAGAAAAGTGAGCGCGTTTGGATTTTTTCCCACCTTTGAACTCCAATGTGAACTACAGGAAGCAGGACTGGATAACTCATGTCATCTCAAACAGCTCCACAAAGACACAGAATATTTCACAGCTATTACTTCCTCAATGACTGACCCCTATTTTACTTCTGTATGCCTCCAGCAAAAATGTCACAGGACAGAGTGAAGCCATAAAGAGTCACGGTTTCTCAAGACTACAGTTAACGCCACCCACAGATTCGGTGGAACTTTTTCAAAACAAACTAATTTAGCATGGTTCTAATTTAAGACTACTAGAGCTACTGCTCAAAGCTTTAGCTAAAGGACAAAAGCTATGCACATGATTTACAGGACCAATAGCTGTTAACACTATATTTAACTCATTTAATAATTAGACTGCAGACTATTTACAATATATTGCAAGAATTTCCATTTTGTAAATGACTGCAGGAACATTTGTGTATTAGAGAGTAACACTCAGTGTAATGAAGTGACTGGTCCTCTTCAGGACAGTAATCCAAGGAATTAGGAAACCGAATGAGATTACAAATCCAACAGGCAGAATTCCTTCTATGTCTAGAAAAGTAGACCAAAGAGTCATGCTACTTTCTCCTGGGAGCTCCTTTTGGACCTACTCGGCAACTAGCCCAGAGGACTGGCTAGCTCATTTGTAATGAACGCATCTAGCACTCACAAGAAAACCATAATTCAACAACAAATTAAATGTATAACCTTGTAGGAATGCAAACAGTTTGGTGTCAGAAAGTGCACGCAAGACTCCATATCAAAAATGCCCATTTCAGTGTATATAATGGGAGAAAACAATTTTTTATAAAATAAAAAATAACCAGGAAATACCAATCTGTTGTTTGCACACTTTGTCAATGCTCAACTTCTCAATTATAGAACAATAGTCAGAAAATATGCATTCAGGGTAAAATGCAGTTAGAAGAGTAACTTTCAGACACAATCTAGTGCGCTAAAATTAAAAACTCTGCAGTTTTCTCTGGGCACAGGCTGAACTGCCTGCTGAAACTAGCAAACAATGGAGAGGAAAACAGTTTCCTCAGGCTTTTGTTTGCCAGGTGGTCATGGCGTCTGTTTCTCTACACAAAAGCATTTTCAATTCAAATCAGTTTCTTTTATTGTCATTGCACAAGTTGAAGCTGATATCTGGCCCCTCTGTCCTCTAGACATCATGAGAGACATCTGTCACAGCAGCAGTGAAGACATACAGACATATGTTATAGAACAAACCCTATGAGTACAAATCAGATCCGAACAAATTAAACAAGAACACATGTAAGAGCTAGGAGCTGGACAATAGTTAGGCCAGTTGTAGGTAGCAAAATTCACGTTAGGGCAAGACACAACAGGCAAAACCATCGTTTTTTCATACACTGGTCAATTTTCAGATGTTGGGCTATTTTGCTTCCATAGCAAACAAGTGGATTTTGCAGAGGGTTTTATACATGGTTTCTTTTCTAGCTGTTGACAGTTTTTTCCTGATTTATGGAGTGATAAAAAGGGATATTCATAATGCCCCGAAATGTACATTTAATTAGAAAATTATTATTTTAGAAAATATGTAATACAAAAAAAATCTTAATGTATGAATCAAATGGCGGAAGTATGGTGGTTTGTTAGTTAACTTTTTTTTGTACTCTATCCACCTTGCCTTAAAACCTAGTTAGCTGCCAAACATAACAGTATTTTGGGCATCATAGTGGCATGGTATATTCAGTATTCATTCAGTGCCATGGTACTTATCAAAGTACCTGATAGCATCACAGCTGTACTTTTGGAGGAAAAATTGATAGGATCTGAGCCAGACTTTTTTATTTTATTTTTATAAAGCCTTTGTCTTAGCTTGGTTACTACCTACAATCTTCAGAAAGCACTTAATTCAAGAAGTGGACGATACTCAGTTTGCAGATCAGTTAGAAGACATTTTAAATGACCCATCTGTTACCTTTACCACTAAAAGATCATCTCATGTGTTAGATCTACCGGGAGAAGGTAACGGACCAGCAAACCGACTAACAAACCGTTACAATTACGAGGTGAAAACACGATCTGCTCTGGTTTTAAATATAGCGAGAATTAAAAAAAATAAAGCGAGACTGTGGTTTTCGTAGGTTAACATTAGCTCGACGCAGCGGATTTAAACGAGCTCACTAGCATCTATGTTAGCTCAGCTCCGCTGGATATCAGCCCGAGGCGGACAACAGTCAAAAACACTCACTACCAAGCGGCCACAACACAAGCTCTGACCTTGATTACAAAAGAAACTCCATAGTTTGGCGAAAATTAGACCCATTTCTCCTGGTGGGTGAGAGACCGTGTCCAGTGAGGCTGAGTTTAGCGGTGAGGCCTACAGCAGCTGTCCGTGAAGCCGTTATTTCTTCATAAACCCCATGCGGCTACGGGAACACAGCACATGCCTCCGTCTGTCCACGGTGTGTTCACGCACAGGTAAGCAGCTCCAGAGCACCTCTTCTTCTTTTGTGTGGTCAGATCAAGTGTGCGGCGGATACATCTCTCTCCAAACACAAGCCTCTTTACTTCCCAGATCGCTCTGACCTCATCCACATTTTCCTCATGGACAAAAAACACACATCCGCTCCCTTTGTCTGGTTACACGCGTGTAATAAATGCTCGGGAAGAGCTCAAGGGAGTAAACTTGAGGCACACAGAGCTGCGCGCGTGTGCGGTGCTGCTCCTGGATAAATAATAAGAGCTCACTCTCTCTTGTGGACACACACAGACACACACAGACACACACACACACACACACACACAC